TTTAATCCTGAATTCTAAGCCCATTTGATGTAGTCAGTTCTGTTCACTAAATATTTCCAGCTTTCTCCTTCCCTCTTCTGTATAAAAATAAAAAAGTAGTAAGAGTATGATATATAGCCAAAGGAAATAAAATTACTTCTTGAAGAGACATCTACATCCTCATGTTTACTGGAGCATTATACACAATAGCCAAGATATAGAAACAACCTAAGTGTTCATCAACAGAAAAATGGATAAAGAAAATGTATGTGTGTTTAAATACATACACAATGGACTATTATACTGCCATAAAAAAAGAAGGAAATCCTGCCATTTGTGACAATATGGATGAGACTGGAGTACATTAGGCCAAGTGAAATAAGCCAGATACAGGAAAACAAACACTGGAGTAATCTCATTTATATGTGGACTCTAAAAATTCAAATTCATAGAAACAGAGTGTAATAGTGGTTAGTAGGGGCTGGATGTTGGGGGACATCAGGAGATGTTGGCCAAAAAATATAAATTTTCAGTTGTAAGATAAGGTCAGGGTTGTAAAATACAGCATTGGTGGTGATGGGTGTGTTAATTAATTTAGTTAATTGCAGCAACCACTACACAATATGTATGCAAATTAAATCATCATGTTACACACCTTTATATACAGTATTTGGCAATTGGATATATATTTTTAAAGCATATAACATTGCTAAGTTTTATGTAGCATTTATTCATCATACTTAATATGGATCTACCGAAATGCATACCTTGATATTTTAGGAAGAAGAAAAAAAGTACATGCATGATAAGTGAAATAAAACTAAAGCAAAAATTCAATAAATAATATCTTAAACTGAAGTAAAATATGCAGATACTTTTTAAACTCATGGAGAAAGATACCAAAGGAATCTGCTTGAGATATTTCAAACTGAACAGGAGGAAATATGTGAGAATGTGAGTTAATGTGCAATGTTGGTCTGATAGAGAAAAGTCTGGAAAGATTATCTAAGTTTTCTCTGCATGTGTAATTGGTTAAAAAGAAAAAGGAGAAGAAGCCAATTTGCAATAAATCAGCAATCCAAATAATCAATCCAAATAAGTTTTACTGCAGCCAAACTTGGCCTCCTTATTGGGTTCATAAAACTCATATCTAGAAGCTCTTTGTAAATGAAATATAGCACTCCTTGTTTAACATGCCCAAATAAAAGTCCTTGTTGTCAAACTCGAAATAGCAACTCATATGACACAGTATTTTTGTCACATTTCACACCACGGGTATGTTTTTACAAAAGTTCACGCTCTCATTTGTCATTTAGATACTCAACATGTTAGCCAGTGGTCATGTATGTGCCATAAATGTATAATCACATGTGGGTCACAATAAGAAATAGTGTGTCTGCTGAGGCATGTGATAATCACTCTCGGCGCAGTGCAGACATCACTAATGTCAGTACAAGATCAATAAGTACTAAACCTTCTTTTCTTTTTTCCCTCATTTTAAAAGCTTCATCAACATCCTCAAGGCATGTTTTCCTCCAATATTCATCAAATATATCTCTCATCTTCCATAAGAGTTATCCTCCACACGTTTTCTTCTCTTAGATTTCTACTCTCATTTAAGTGCTACCCTCCACTCCAATACTCCAAGCCCATGCCTACTCTAGAATTGTATCCTTGACTGGACTTTCTCTCTACACCTGTAACCAGTTTATTTTTACTTCTCTGAATCCCTTAATGCTTTTTTATTCTTCCACTTGCTTTTCTAAAAGCCAACTCACTTCCTTTGAGCTCCAGCTTGCTGGAGTTTTAGGTCTGTAGAGGATTGAGGCTACAGGGTACGTGAGTGCTGAGAGCCTTGTGATGGAGGAAATACATTCAAAATTTAGGTGAAGTCTTTAGGAGACTAGGACGCAAAGGAATAAAAGTGAGAGAGTAAAAGTCAAGTTGTAACTGTCATACGAAAGGGAAAAGTTAAAAGATTTATTGATACCCTCTGTGTTGGCTTCACAATGGGCTTTTATATCTACCTAAGATGGCTACACTTTCCTTTTTTTTTTTTTAACTTTTATTAAGAATGTTAAGTGGATGACCTCTATATTCATTGGTCATGTAATTTCTACTTGTAAGGAAAGTTTTTGACCTTGCAAGAATTAGAACTATACCATCTGAGTTTATTTTGTCCTCTAGAAGGGAAAAGAATACATTATCACAACAGACCTCTCGAGTCTCATTTTCAAACTAATGCATTCCAAAATGCATTCAATTTCTAACAAAGAGCAAAGGATAAACAATTAAACATTACATGTAACAGAACTCTTACCCACCTGCCAACAATTAAACCCAGTAATTAAAAACTGTAGGAGAATTCACATAAGCATATCTTCAGCAACAGTCATACCACGGTCAAAGAGGGGAAAAAAATCTTTCCTAATAAGTTCCTTTTCCATTTCCCAGGCTGCTTTTCTTGACATTAAACAGACACAAGACTCTGTCAACTGTTTCACTTTCTTTAGAAAGAGGGAAATCCCATTCTGTGTCCCCTGGGAGGACTATTATATACAGATGAATGTATTTTGTTATTTAGTTTAATAAACGTAGTGTTTAGAACAGATGTTAAGACTTGAAGTTGTCCAGAGAAAGGAACAGCTCAGGTGGCAATAATGCAGGCTTCCCGCCTGCTGTGCTTTCTTCTTTGTCTTTGGAAGAGCTACTTTCACAGGTGAGAAGGTATTACAGTATTTATAACCACTCACATCCCCACCACTGGACTGAAGCTGACAAACGGGGTGCTAATTAGTACCAGGAGTGGTGGTGGTGATGGTGGTTTTATGACACAGACATCTGGCCAGTAAATTGGACTAAGAGAAACAACACATTTACAGAAGCACAATTCCAGCCACGCATGGTGTAAAGAGTAAATGTGAGGCCTGTTTTTAAAAGGTAGATTTCTTGAACACCAGAATATTTGGCCTTTCCAAGGCTATGTTCTTCTGTGGATGTTCTCATGCACTAGCTACTTATGTCACCATGATCCAGAATAATTTTCTTAAACTACACCTGTGAATAAGGGTATGCTTCCGAGAGAGGCAAGACATTATTTTGAGTGAATGTATGTTTTCTGTGAATGACAGTTTATAAAATAACAAATCTCAATTTAAATGACAGTCAGAATATTGTTCTGCAAGCTAGGAGACAATAAAACAGTAAATCCAATCAAATAATAATAATTTTTGAGTATTTATCAATAATAAAATTCATTAAATATTTTTGTATAAATTGTATAATGCTTCATTTAGTTTAACTAAAATCTACAATTCATAAATGTGGTCAGCACATTTACATTGTCTTCATTGATTTGGGTCTATAGTTGCAGTAATAAAATGAAAGCATAATAGAATGGGGAAAAAAGGTATTTGTTGTTAGGAAAATTGCGTTAAGCCCCAGGAGCATAGCAGCATTGTTAAGGACAGGACTTTCAATTCCAGTGGATTGGGTGCCAAACCTAGCCACTTACCATGCCACCTATTGTCTGGTGTTCAGCAAGGCAATTGCCCTGAACCTTTATTTCCTCATTGCCAATACCTACTTTATTGTGTTGCTGAGTGGATTAAATGAGATGATACATACACACCAAGTAGCAGAACTTCTGATATGTTACAATTACTTACTAAATGGTAGATTTAATTTATTATTTTAATTTATTTATTAAAACTTTTTAAATAATTTATTTATAAAATTTATTATTTTATTTACTAAAACTATTAACTATAGGAAGAAAGTCACAACTTTTCCTCCATTTCTTTAATCATTCAGGTACAAAGTTTCAAGTTTATCCCTAGATGTTTGAGGATTAAATGTGCTATAAACATGATAAAATATGCAAAATCACTTAAAAATTAGTAAAAGCTTCATAGATACTGCTAGAAAACATGTGTCTTATTTTCCGTTGAAAAATTAGTTTTAATAAAGGCAGGCTTTCCAAAAATAATTTTTGTTGCCAGCATTATTCACTTTGCACACATTTAATTCTTCCAAACCATCTTTCACAAAATGTAAGATGTTTTTCCATAGTAACATACATGTAGCCTGGAACCAGAAAATACAAGTGCAAAGTGGCTAATTTTATTGTGAGGAGCAGAATGGTGATGGTTTTAAAGAATCTGTCCAGTTTGTAAAAACAAACCAATTAACATTTCAAGTTCAAGGCTTAAAACCACATCTCAAAGAGGTGCTATAATGTGATATAGCAAAGGAAACAGAGTGGAGAATTCACTTCTCAGTGCATACATTTTTTCATTCTCTTTTAAAACGTACTAGATGGTCACAACAAATAAATACATACACAGACACAGACACACACACACACACACACACACACACACACACACACACAGACACACATATCTGCTATAATAAAACATGCCCCACATCATTTCTATCAGGCCAAAAGAAATAAAGGGTGAAAATGGGGCAGATTTAGGGAATTTATTCATTCAGTAGATATTAACCTTGTAACTGCCCCAAGGAAGTTTCAGTATAGTGTAAGATTAATATGACACATTATATTCTGAGATTTTTAAAGTTTGAAATTAGCAAATGACCTGTGCAAGATTATAGAATCCAGTAAATTATAAACAAAAAGTTTATCACAAAAATCCAATCACATACAACCTTACATTTGAATCATAAGTCAATGAATTCTACAAAATCATACATGAGGCGGGAAAAAAGCCTTGAAATGTTCATCAGTTTGTTGAAAGGTAAAAAGTAAAAGTAAAAATAAAATGCAGCTCAGAATTGGTTTATTAGATTCCCTCAAAGAACAGAACTTTTTCCAGAAATTTTTCTAACCCAAGTTATAAGAACAGAGAGGTTCCCTGTTATAGCTTTTTTATTTCCTTTAACACGAGCTTTGAAGCTCTGTGAAAAATCTCTACCATGACAGAGCTTGTTTAGTGTGTACTAGATAGTGCATTAATTTCTAATCTATAGTTTTAGGAAAAAGAAAATTGCAAAGTGACTGCTGGTATTTTTCTCAATTAAAACTTCAGCATATGTGATGATTCTTAAACCTAAGAGTGCAATAAAATTAGCAATAGGGGTTTTTAAACCTGTGTATCTGTCCCTAGATTCTCCAAATCAGTAAGTCGAAGATGAAGCCTTGGCATTTGAATCTTTTAAAGCCCCGTGGATAATTCTGATGCACATCCACAACTGAAAATCTTCACAAACCAACCAAAGGAAAATGTCTTATTTTTCTTGCCCACCATATTCTCTGGGAAAAAAAAAAAAAAAAAACAGCCTAGATGGAAAAATGTTACATAAAGTTGGACAATAATGCCTATTTATATGCTTGAGAGGTAAGTCGTTTTAAGCATTGAACTGGCTGGTCGAGGTAAATTGAAGCCAAATTACCTGACAGAATCTTCTGTGGACTGTCACATCTGTCATACTCTACCTTCATAGATAGCTGGATGATTCATTACTTTCCATAAAACAGAAAATTCCAGTGTTGTCATTAAATAATGACGATATTCATAATAAGAGAAGACAAGCCCATGCTGATTTGAATTCAAATAATTAAGTTATTTACCTTTCTAGAGATTCAATCTAAGAATCATAGTCATAAAAAGCCCAGGAACTAAGTGATTTGAATACTTCCTAAATTTATAAAAAAGAGTCAACTATACATCTTGGTACATTCCATTTACCAACTCAGGTATTCGCACATTGCTTTACTTACCATGTGCAATAAAAATAGCGACAGAAGTTTATCACTAAAGATTATACATTATTTTCTAAGAATATTATTGGACATAGTAAGTGTTGCTAGTGTGATTGATAACACAATCATCAGAGATCTGACTTAATAGAGAACAAGACTGAAAAGAGAAAGCAAGAGGCACATTTCAGTAAAACTGGGGTAGCTGGGAAGCTTGACCTGCAACTCTATCACAATTAAGTGTCTTATTGTCATTAACCAAGTGACCTTAAGGGGGAATAGTAAATCAGTTAGGCCATTTGGTCTGATCCTAAGGGAATATGGATAAATTCTTTGAAAATAAGGTGCTTAAAAATCATATGTTTGATAGCTGATTAAAGCTTTGTTTGCTAAAAGAGGACATATTTAAATATCATAATATCTATGAGAAAGAAATTAGTGGTCTGATGTCACTTGCCAGTTACTTTAAAAAAAAATAAATGTCAGTGTATATCAGTTTTGTTCTAATTTTTAAAAATGAGAACACTGCAAATAACCTATATTGAACATTTATGTGTCAGGCACTGCGCTAAACAGTTGACATGCAGGTACATCATTTACTCATCGTAATCACATGGCATATGCACTATTCTCATCTACATTTTACAGACAGGGAAATTGAGACTTAAACTATTTAAATATCCAAAAATACAAAATACTTAAGTGGTAAGACTAGGGTTTAAACCCATGCATGTAGAGCTGGAGGCTATAAACTGCATTTTATCTATGAATGCAACTCAAGGATGATGAATGCACTACAGAGTCTGACTTCAATATATCAAGGGTGAAAATGGAAAATACATTAAAAACAGCCACAAGGCTGGGCGCGGTGGCTCATGCCTATAATCCTAGCACTTTGGGAGGCCCAGGATGGCAGGTCACAAGGTCAAAAGATGGAGACCATCCTGGCTAACACAGGGAAACCCCTTCTCTACTAAAAGTACAAAAAATTAGTTCGACGTGGGGGCATGTGCCTGTAGTCCCAGCTACCTGGGAGGCTGAGGAAGGAGAATCGCTTGAACCTGGGAGGGGTAGGTTGCAGTGAGCCAAGATTGTGCCACTGAACTCCAGCCTGGGCAACAGAGTCAGACTCCCTTAAAAAAAAAAAAAAAAAGAACAAAACCAACAGAACAGTCACAAACAAGGCAGAGGAAATTGTTATGTTTATAAATTAAAAAACCGATTCCCAAGCACAATAAAGCAAACATCCAAGCTATTACTATTTTTATGCCATAACACTAGCCAAGGTATTGGTAGATTCAATTGTATGCAATATATTTTTCATAATATAGCCACCTTGGAAGTGTTTATTGTGACAATATTTTTCACACATACATTGAAAGAGTAAGAAGTTAAATTGGACTAAATTACAATGTTCAGGATAAATGTAGAATGCCTACTGTGGTGGTTTTAAAATATGCCTCATATCCTTTCACATTTCTCCCTTCAAAAGATGAAGACTAATTGCTCTACCCTTGAAAACATGCTTGACTTAGTGACTGACTTCCATCAAACTAAATGAAATCAATAAATTAACAAATAAAAATGGCAAAAGTGACAGTGTATTTCTCCTAGTCCAAGTTATTGTCCTAGTTCAGGCTGCCAAAAACAATTACCATAGACTTGGTGGCTTAAACAACAAACACTTATTTCTCACAGTTCTGGAGGCTGGAAATCCTAGATCAGGGTGTTGCATGGTCAGGTTCTGGTGAGGACTCTTTACCAGCTTGCAGACAGGTGACGTCTTATATCATCACATGGCAAAGAGTGAGGGGTACTAGCACTTTTTATCTTCTTATAAGGACACTAAACCCTCATGACCTAATTACCTTACAAAGTCCCTACCTCCTAATACTATCCTATCAAAGGTTAGGGCACCAATATAAGAATTTGAAAGAGGTAAAGCCTGAAGTTGGCCAGGCACTGTGGCTCATGCCTGTAATTTCAGCAGTTTGGGAGGCTGAGGCGAGCGGATCATGAGGTCAGGAGATTTAGACCATCCTGGCCAACACGGTGAAACCCGTCTCTAATAAAAATACAAAAATTAGCTGGGCATGATGGTGTGAGCCTGTAGTCCCAGGTACTCAGGAGACTGAGGCAGGAGAATCACTTAAAACTGGAAGTTGGAGGTTGCAGTGAGCTGAGATCGCAACATTGCACTCCAGCCTGGTGTTACTAGCCATCCTAAAAGGTATTGAAGGCTCTCTTCCTCCCTCTCTCTCTCTGTCTCTCACTCTTGCTCTTTCTTTCTTAATCATCATTCTTTTTGGAAGCCAACCACCATGTCACAAAAAAGTTCAAGCAATTCTATGGAGAGGGACCGTTGGCAAAGAACTGATGCCTCCTGCTAATAGCCAGCACAAATTCACCAGGCATGTTAGCAACCAACCCAATCTGGAAGGGAATTCATCAGCCCCAGTTATGCAGGTGACTGCAGACTCAGTTTACACCGTAGTGCAATTTGATGAAAAACTCATAGCCAGTAACATCTAGTTAAGTTGCTCCCAAATCTCTAACTGAAACTGTATAAAATGTTTATTGATTTTAGCTGCTAAGTTTCAGGATAATTTGTTATGAAGCAACATAAACCACCAATAACTAGTACAACCACCTAACCAGGGTAGCATAATATTACAGCTGGAGACAGCTATTGCCTCTCTTTGTGCATGTCAACGTTCCTTTTTGTTCCTCAGTTCTCTCACCTGTAAAAATGAAGAAATACATTTGCCCCCTGTAACTGTGAGGATTCAATGCCATAATTCACAAGTATTCATTACAGAAGTACCCAGCAGACTAAGCCACAAATAAATGTTACCTGTTGTTATTATTATTATAACATTTCTCTTTTGTCATTGGAGTTTTAGTGGTACTGCGGCATCATGGAAGAAGAAAAAGTTGAACTACCCACCTACTAGTCTTAGCTGTACTTCTTGATTTCATCTCTTTTTTTAAATCTCCACAATTCTCATTTCCCTCACCTTCACATAAGAGATGCTGAGAGAATATTAAATAATAATATCATTTATTTTATTTCTTGTTACTTCTTAAAACCTTTCTCATTTGATCTGCATAGCCTTGGCATCCATGAAAAGTTCAGCACAGCAGAAAAATACAGAACAAGCTTAAGAGTATGAATAACCTACGCTCTAGGAAGTATCAAGGATATAACAAATATAAGAAGTAAAAGTAAAGTTTTCTACTTCCATTAAGAGAAAAAGCAATGAGAGATCAGATTCTGGTGTGTCCCTAAGAAAGATGCCTGCACATAGCCTAGCCACACTCCTCATCTTAGACCAAGGCTCCACACTGAAGCTAAACAATAATTTCAAATACCTGTGGAGAATTTCATATTATAGAGAAACTATGTCACTGTCTAGTAGATCCTGGAGAGGTAGGAAGACCAGAATATCCCTGCACACTAGACATGACACAGGAGCAATGGCTGCAAGGGTGGGTTTAAGACAATAGGCCTCTGACAAGATCATAATTTCCACTGCCTGCCAGAATAACTCAGGAAGAAAAGAAACCTAGTATTGGGATTCAGCAGAGCCTGTGAGGACTGTTAGCCAAATTTAAGACATTAAACAGCAATGGCCTGAAAAAAACCCCACAAAGACCAAGGACCCAATGAGATGTACAACTCAACAAATATTAAGCACCAAAGGGTGCTCCAATCTCATTGCATTGCGTAAGTTATTCAAAGTCCCTTTGTAATTATAATCAACTTCAAAGAAGGAACGGCAATTTGCACTGATAGATTATTTCCATTACTCAGTAAAAAGAGGCTTGGAGTTGGTTGTAAAAAGTGAAGTCATAAAGGTAAAGTGAAGTTAAGTCACCTCTGGTTTGGTGACTGAGATTTATGCCATTACAGAGTATATGACATGAAAAAATGTCCAATGTCCATTTAAATTATCCTATTCCCTACACATCTCAGTTTGTCAATATCCACAAAATGACGCATTGGAAATCTGACTGGGATTGCCTGGAATCTACGATCAACTTGAGAAGAAACGACATTCTGACAAGATTGAGTCTTCCTATCCACGAACATGGAATGCATCTTTATTTAGTTCTTCTTTGATATCTTTTGTTAGCTTTGTAGTTTTCCTCATATAGACTTTACACACATTTCCTGAGAAATATGACTTCTAACGTGCTGAGACAGAACTAGAAGTCCTCCAAAAAGAAGTCTTTTGTACGCACAGCATTAAATAGCTTTTTCTCTTACTACTACTGCAATCTTGTATTGTCTTTCTTCATAGTAAAGTCTGAGGTTACTTGGAGGGATAGGAACACCATTTTTTTGAAAGATGGAGGATTATTGTAGGATGCTAGAAACCAGATTTTATATTTTATTTGTCCCCAAAAGGCCTAGCTAGCATGGTACCAGATTCTACCACTTACTGTATAATTGAAGCCAAGTTAACCTCTCAGAGTTTCAGTCATTTCTCTTTTAAAGTGAGGGCAATGACTTAGTTCTTGTGAAAATTCAATGACATTATATATATATGCACACATGTATATACACATATATATAATTATATATGTAACATATATACACATAATTATATATAATGTATATGTATATACATATATACATATAATGTAATATATGTATATGTATATATGTATATGTACACATACATATACAAATATACACTATATATAAATTATATATGTATATTTACATATATATGTATACATACATATATACATATGTATATGTATATGTACATATACATATATTATGTATATGTGTATATATAATGTATTATATACATATAATTATATATAATGTATAATGTATAATTATATATAATTATATAATGTATAATGTATAATGTGTATAATTATATATAATGTATATGTATAATGTATGATGTGTAATGTATATATACATATAATACATATGTATATATACACATATACATGTGTGTATATATATATATACACAAACCTGTATGTGTGTGTATATATACACGTATATACATACATATATATATACACACACATACACACACATGTATATACAGGTGTATATATATGCATGTATAGGTGTATATATATGTGTATACATAATTATATATA